AGAAGGGGTAAGAGAGGAAAGTTGATGTTGTCAGTATTGTCAGTAAGTTTGTGTTTAGTGACATTCTTTGCTAATGATTTAGCAATTTATTGTGTTCAATCAGTACCAGTTACTGTTTTTAATAAAATGTATTTGCTGCAACTGACCTTCAGTGTTTTGTGATTTTTTTCTTAAATAATACTTAAATGATCATATCACAAACTTTTTTAAAACAAATGTGATTGATAAACATCCTGGGCATAAACAATGTATAAGTAGCAGACCAGAACTGTTTAAATAACAGTCAGACATCTTAGTAATAAGTGTAGGTCTTTAATACTGACAGTCAGACATCTTAGTAATAAGGGTAGGCCTTTAATACTGACAGTCAGACATCTTAGTAATAAGTGTAGGTCTTTAATACTGACAGTCAGACATCTTAGTAATAAGTGTAGGCCTTTAATACTGACAGTCAGACATCTTAGTAACAAGTGTAGGCCTATAATACTGACAGCTAGGCATCTTAGTAACAAGTGTAGGCCTATAATACTAACAGTCAGACATGTTAGGTAACAAGTTAGGCCTATAATATTAATAGTCAGACATGTAAGGTAACAAATTAGGCCTATAATACTAACAGTCAGACTTGTTAGGTAACAAGTGTAGGTCTATAATACTGACAGTCAGACATGTAAGGTAACAAGTAAGGCCTATAATACTAACAGTCAGACTTGTTAGGTTACAAGTGTAGGTCTATAATACTAACAGTCAGACATGTTAGGTAACAAGTAAGGCCTATAATACTAACAATCAGACATGTTAGGTAACAAGTAAGGCCTATAATGCTAACAGTCAGACATGTTAGGTAACAAGTAAGGTCTATAATACTAACAGTCAGACATGTTAGGTAACAATTAAGGCCTATAATACTAACAGTCAGACATGTTAGGTTACAAGTGTAGGTCTATAATACTAACAGTCAGACTTGTTAGGTAACAAATTAGGCCTATAATTCTAACAGTCAGACATCTTAGGTAACAAGTAAGGCCTGTAATACTAACAGTCAGACATGTTAGGTAACAAGTCAG